TAATATGTTTCTTTTCTTTGTAATATCAGCATTTTTATTTTGTTTATCTTGCAGTCAGGTAACTGCAACTGCCTTTTGCAAGGGAGGAAGCAACCCTGCAGCTTGCAGTGGCAGCAGGAAGGAGAGGGAAACTTTTGTTGGCAGTAGTGAGGTGATAATAGAACTCAGCCACACTATGAAGCCATAGCCTACGAAATAAATCAAGGGTGTTATGTGAGGAAACACGTAAGGCCTCAATTTCAACTTTCCTGGCAACTTTATTATACTGAGTTTACTAATATAAAGCTTGACCCTGTGTCAGCAAATCTGCAGGATGCCCTTCAGCAGCTCTCTGTGCCTATTTTGGAGACTTCCCACAAGGCCTACCCAGGCAATAGGGAAATTGTGGCTCTCTTCTTTCACACAAGCACCCAAAGACATTAATATTATGAGCTACATGGGGTATCTAATGGACCTGCTTCCTCTTCAGAACGCATATTCGCAGTTGCTTCACAGGTTGTGTGTAATTGCTCAACAGTTTGTATTAACCAGAGCACTAGTTCAAGAATTTCAGGAAGATATTTTCAGTTATTCATTAAAAAACCTTTCTCTSTTGACTTCATGTTTCATTTTCTGTTATATATCTCTAGCTTTATAAGACATAGTCTAAGTTTTCTCCCACAGCAGTTATASAGCCACAAATTCCTGATAACAGCAAACCTGAAGGTGCCAAGAAGCAACTAAAAATCAATACAGACTCTCTAATCCGCCAGAACTCCATAGTGTGACTGCTCTGTGATTCAAGGTTTATGAACCTTGTCTTAGCAACAATTACCTTGTTCAGATTTGTCATTTTAATAGATGCTTTAATATAATAACCATAATAATAATAGAAAATCTTTCCCCTAGGGGTGTTGATTCTGTGAAGCAAGAGGCAAGAAGGAATAAGAACAGCCAAGGGGAGATCACTTCCACTTCTAAAGCTCCCCAGTACGCACGATGGATGCATTGCTGCATGTCTCTGCTATGTTCCTTCCTTCCTTGCTTCTTTGCTYGCTTCCTCCCTCCCCCTGGCTCCACAGACCCTGACTTTCACCCTCATCATGGGGCCAGCCACACTAGCCATACACATGAATATAATGTGTCTCTATATATATTTGTATGTGTGTGCGTTGGCAGGTCTGATATAAAAGTCATGGGCACATGGACTAAGCAGGGCAGGAGGTACCCGACCCCATCACCGCCATGGCCAGGGCTGCTGCCCACCTACACCTGCAGCCCAGGCCTTGGGACGTGGCCCACAGAGGACAGGAACCAGGGGGAAAAAGGAAAAGCGGGAGGGAAGGGTAAAGGGAAAAGGCTGTGCGGTCGCCAGCTCCCAGGGCCGAGCCCAACGCCCCCCGCCTCCCTTGGCCCCGGCTTCCTCCTTCCACCTCCACAAGCCGCCGCCTCCCCTCAGCCACAGCAGGAGCAGCAGCGCCAGGCGCCAGGGCAGCCCCATGGCCCCCAACCTCCAACGGCCGCCCCGAGCAACCGCCCCGACAGGTGCTGCCGCTCGGGACTACCCGTCCCAGCATGCACCGCGCCGGAGCCGCGCGGCTGCCTGCGAGCGGTGACCGCGCGGCGCACTGGGTAATGTAGTCCGTGCTGCTGGGCGCGCAA